GAAACTGCCGAAGGTAGTATGGTTCCATAACACTACAGCCTCTAAAACAACAAGCTTCACACCATTCAAACTCTTGTATGGTGAAGAAGCAATGCTACCCGAAGAAGCCAGGCATCAGAGCCTCCGTGTCATAAAACAGACATAGGCAGAAGATGAAGAATACTCCAAAGAAACAATTGAGGGCACAAGACTGGAAGCAGTTGAAAACATTACAAAATACCAAGACCAAACCAAAAAATGGAGAGACAACAAAGTGATCAGGAAAATCATACAAGATGGAGACCTAGTCCTCAGAAGGAGACCTAATGCTAAAAATATTGGAAAGCACCAACCAAAATGGTAAGGCCCTCATTTGGCGAAGGCCACCGGAAGACCCGGGTCATTCTACTTGACCGACGGCGAAGGAAGAACAACAACACATACCTAGAACATTGACAATTTGCATAGGTTTTACATCTAAATGTAAAAAGGTGGCCTCCGCGGAACTATAAGCGAAGGTCACCAAGTTTCTAATTTTCGCATTTTTACATTTCATGCAAAAGGGCTTGCACTCTTTTCCTCACAAAGGTGGCTCCTAACGGAGGTGAGGTTTTTAATGAGGCAAGTTCCATGTAAAAAAACTCTAAAAATATAAAGAGGAATCCCCCAAAAATACCATAAAAGGCGAAGGTCGAAAGTAGCTAGCAACGCAGCCATAATATTCGACGATGAAAGCAATGAAAGCTAATGATTAACGAATTTTATGAGTGATGTGTAGGAAGAGAAGATGAAAGCCTCCGCTCGATCGGCCGATCAGGGCAAAGGGCCAGAGGATGCGGCGAAGGCACTCGAACATGGTCAAAGGCAGAGGCTCCGATGCCCTAGGCGAAGGCTCCGACGCCCTGAGTGGAGGCTCTGGCGACTGAAGCGAAGGCGCCTGGATGTAGCTAACGGCAAAGGCTCAGGTGGCACCTGCAGAGGCTACGGAGAGTCGATGCACAGGTATGGGCGAAGGTCGCCCCAGACGAAGGCCCCAAGAGTAGAGGGACTTCCTGAAGGATGGCGGTGCCGGGCCATGGGCCGTAGACAGACTCACAGTTGCGGCTCATCAAGCAAAGGCAGTTGAAGAAGAAGGCACCCAAATTACGCTTAGCAGTTTGTATTAGTATAGAAATATTCCAAGGATGTACTGTAACCATCAAGGGGTAAAATTATAAAAGAGTAGCCTTAGCAAGCGGTGCCCTATAAAAGGGGAACACAAACTCTGTACAAGGGGGGAGGTAGTTGAATGCATTTATGAAACCCTAGTTTGGTCTGGACCCACTTTTCACCTGACGCGCCTTCACCCAAGGCACCTATCTAGGGATTCCTTAAGTACATTTAGTGGCTAGAGCACTAAAATAAGCCTCAATTCAGTAGTAATCTTCCTCAGCTCCAACAACAACCAAATAGTTGTCTTAGGAGAGTAATTATAGCCTCTAACCAGAGATATAGCTATTGTGGCTGAACTACACTCATGTGTGAGCACTGGAAAACACCGGTGACCCATCAGAGAATTCAGAAGACCGCCACATCGACTAGCAATTGGGCATGTCATTATAGACCGTTGATAGGCTCTTTCTCTAGTGCACCACAAGTAAATCCGGTGCCCTCTGAAACCTTCTAAAGAGCCTCTAGATGGCACACTTTCTTCTAGTGCTAGGCTTTAGGAATCCCTAGAGAATACTAATAGTCTTCAAAAACCATCTACAGAAACTCTTCATCCAATGCCTAAGCCTAAGCTCTAGTGCTCGGCAACAATAATACTACCAGAGAACTCTAGTGTATACAGTCAATTAGACTAGTCAGGGTCCTCCCTAACCCTTTACTCCAATGCCTCTACCAAGGCACCACTAGCTGTGCATAGCCAGTTTGGCTCTATTCTTCATGTCTTCCCATCCGAGCTACGAGTACTTGGACTTCATGCATGACTCCTATGATCTGCACAATAGCTATCACTTGATTTTTGCATTGCCTTTTGTCCAAGCCCACCCTTGCATCCAATAGACTAATATCTTGTATAGTAGCAAACATCATTAGGCAAAATGATCATATTATTATTTTATATGGCCCTTGCTTGGTGCCATTTCCCTTACAGATCTCCTTGGTGATGTTGCATGTCGGTGATGCTTGGAGAGATGGCAATGTCAAGCACGCTGTGGTGGCACCAATGCTTATGCCCATGGCAATGGCAGGCTCATGGGCTGTGTTGAAGGTGCAATGTGTTAATGTAGCCTCCTTTGTGTGCGGAAGCCTCCCATAGTTGTGTCCTAGAGCTACGGCTGCCTTCGTTGAGAGCCTTGTTGGCCCTCTGACTCTACTTCACATCCATTTGAGCAAACCATGGATGGATGAGTTGGGAGTCAAGAGGCATGGGTTGTGGCGACGAGTATACTTGGCCATCGGGCTGGCCCGGCTCGGCACAGCACGGGCCCGTGCCAGGCACGGCCCGGAGGATGTCGGGCCGGCACGGCACGCGGGCCTCCTGGGCCATGCCCAGCCGGGCATCGTGCCTGACCAAGGGCCCAGGCACGGCCTGCTAGGCCATTTTTTGGGCCTGGCCGGCCCAAGAAGGCATGGCCTGCCAAGCGTTCCAGGCTGGCCCGAGGCCCACAGAAAGAGGGAAGGGGAGAGCAGGAGGCAAGGGCAGCCACGGGGAGCGGCGGCCACCGCCGGCGCGCTCGCCCTGGAGGCTGGATGTGGGGCCGCACGGGGAGGTAAGGAGGCGGCGGTTGCTGGCGTGCTTGAATCCGCCCATCGTCGTTCGAATCTGGCCGCGGATGTCGTGCGGCGTGCAAGGGAGACGCCATCGCTCGCGGGGAAGGCGGAAGAGGTGCACGGGAAGCGGCGGCCGCCGCCGGCGCTTTCGCCCTGGTGGGGAGGGGGCAGCGCGGGCGGAGGGGAGGCAGCTAGGGCGCTTGACGCCGGATCTATCATGGTGAGCGGAGAAGGGAGCAGGAGGAGGATGGATGAGGTTGGATCCATGGAGGATGGAGGAGGCCGCCCGCTCGACACTGCTACTGCTGCCGAGCTCGACACTACGTCACTGCTACTGCCATCGGGAGGCCGTGAGGGAGGGAGAGGCCATCCGCGCCGCGTCGCGGGAGGAAGACGAGGCGCGCGTGTTGCGTGGGCTTGCTGCGCGGGAGGGGAGAGAGGGATCTGCGTGGGCGCCGTGGGTGGGGGGGGAGGGGAAGGGAGTTAGGCCGTTAGGGTTTGGGGGTGGGGAGTGGGGACTGCGTGGGGCTCTGGCGCTCCGCGGGGGAGAGCCGCGGCCGCGGCGCTGGGCGTGCGGCTTATATATGAGGAGGGGGGAGGCGGGGATGGTGGGCCGGCCATGCTGGGCCGCGGGGAGAGGGGTGGAGTGAGGAGAGGGGGAGGGGGTGGCCGGGCTGCTGCCGGTCCGGCTGGCACAGGCCGGGCCGTGCCGTGCCAGCCCACGGGCCTGAGCAGCGGCCCAGGCATGGCCTGCTGCCTCGGGCCGGGCCAGCCCGGGCCCGCATGTTTCGGGCCGTGCCATGCTCGTGTCGGGCTAAAAAAACATGCTTCGTGCCGTGCCATCGTGCCTCGGGCTGCATGGCCAAGTATAGCGACGAGGAAGTTGAGCATCTATGCCTTTGATACCAATTGCTAGCAACCTAATCACACAACTCAAATATCCAACACACTGGTAATATGATGCGATACAATCTGAAAGACGGAGTATTTGAAGATAGCAATCATGGCATCAAAGAACTAAACTAGAGATACATCTAGGAGCTGAGGTAGTTACAAGGAGAATCTTGAGAAGGAAGAAGAGCAACAGAAGGAAGTTACGTTGAGGATGAACCGAGGAAGAAACATGTTGGGTTCTAAATAATTGATACCCTCTCCCTTCTGTATACCATTGGCCCTTTGTATTGAGTCTTGGAGGAATTGTCACCTTGCCGAGTCCCATGGCCCAAGAAGTTGATGGCAGCCTAACATGACCTTTAATGTGTCGACACCAATATATCCTAGACCTTTAATGTGTCGATACCAACATATCCCTAGCAGACCTTTAATGTGGCGACACTGTGACACCAATATATAACAGACGTGCTCACCACAAAGAACTACCAAGATCCACTTAACTTACAACTCCTTCCATATACGACATTTGTGATTATCTTAAAGTATTTTCATGATTCCAGCTAATATACAACGTGGCTAGTGACCTGTGATTGCATGAGTCAACTATCGTCGCACCTAGTTTTCCAAAGGCTGGTTTGCAGTATAGTTTTATACAATTTATTTATAACACGGCTTCCATTTGACCAGTAACGGAGGGGGCGAAAACCATAAAATAAGGCACAATTGCACAACTACCCTTACTTTGACATCTAATTGCATGTTTAGGTCTTGTTTCTAACTGTACTTGTTTGTTGCTTTTATTTAATTTACATCATCCCTGGCCTCTATTTCTTAATATGGTCATGCGAAGAGTTTTCTCTTAATCAATAAAAATTTAAATTAAATTGAAAATAGAAGGGGAGCATAAGACTATATGACCTGGCCTATTCATTTGTAGCCTCATAGATCCTTCCTCCTTCCAAAAAAAATGCTTATACCCTTGATACTCATGAATTCTTCAAATCTATTAATTTATTGGCTTTGGTAAAAGGGTAGAATTGTACAAACGGTTTTTTGGGGCTTTACGTAAAAAGTGCCAAGCCAAGATATAGAAACAAACGTGCATTAAAAAGTTAAAATAAGGACAAAAATGCAATTTGGCATACCCACCGGTGGAAATAAAAAGGAGACCGCACCACGCCGTCCTTCTCACCTCAGGCCACCTCTCCTCCCGCGCCTCCGCTAACTCCCTCCTCGGCGCCGCACCCTGCCCCTCCGCCTGCGCGCTCATCCTCTGCCTCCTGCTGCTCCACCGCCTCCAACCCGACCACAACTCCCTCTCCTTCTCCCTCCGCTCCTCCGCCCGCGCCGTCATCCCCAGCTCCAACGCAATGGAGCTCTCGCCAACGCCGGTAGAGAAGGATACCTCCACCTCCAATGTGCTCACCAACGGCGATCTCCTTCGCAAGATCCTTCTCCGCCTCGGATGCCCGAGCAGCCTCATTAGTGCCGCGCTCACTAGCAAGCGCTGGCTACGCGGCGCCTCCGAGCAGGCGGGCCACCCGCCGGGCCTACTGGGGGTCTACGTCTCCAGTGCTGGCATCTCTAGCTCGGAGTTCATCCCGCTCCTACAACCTGATGCCTCTATCCCGGAGGCGAGTGCTGTCCTCGCTGACTTCGATCTCGGCAACTTTCCAGCGCCGAATGTTTGCGACTGCCGGAACGGCGTGGTCCTCTTCGAGTTCGGCAGCGACGGTGAGACCTTCCACCGCGCTGGTCTCGCTGTGCGCTCTCCACTGCTATACCCTGACATGGACAAGGCCGCGGTGCTCCCACGGGCGCCGCAGCCCACCTTCTTGGAGTACCCTCATGCTATGCTCCTCCCTGCCGACCACGGCGACGATGCCTTGTGCTACCGCGTCGACGTCCACACCAATGAGTCTGACAATAAGGTCACGGCGCTGGTGTGTGTCCTGCGGTCTGGCTCCTGGGCCATCCGCTGCATAGCCTGGGGTCTTCTCGCTAAGTCGCCGGTCAAGAGCCTTCCGACTACCGTGCTCGCCGGCGGTAAGATCTACATGGCGACCCAAGCAGGGTACATCCTAGAACTGAACCTGGACAACGGGACGTTCTTCACCGTCGATCTCCCTGACGGTGTGGAGCTTGATCAGTACCCAGGCAACCTTGTCCACTGCGGGGGGGATGATTCTGTCCTCTACCTCTTCCATGTGGATGGGGAGAACAGGCTCAACGTCTGGCTCCGCAGGATGAACGACGACCACGGGCACGGCGGCGCTGGTGCTGCTGGAGTGCTGGCGGCAGTGCCAACGGGTGGGTGCTTAGGGACACCATTTCCGTGCTTGAGACATGTGGCCATCTCTTGGAGCAGGGTTGGGAGACGGCAGGCGACGGGGATGAGGATGCCGCTGCAGTAATGGTGGTCGGCGCGGGGGACAATGCCGAGTTCGTGTTCTTGGAGCTCGGTATAACTGGCATCGTCGTGTGCATGCATCTCAAGACCAGGGAGGTGAAGCAGGTGTACCAGAGGGAGCCAGACGACGACTACTTGATTAGTGTTCGTCCGTTCATGTTCGTCAGGCCTCCTGTTTTCCCAGTACAAGATGCTCATGAAGGCCAGGCCGCACCGCATCAGGAGTACGAGTAATCATCCTAGTGAAACAGGGTTCGACATTGGAGAGTGGAGACCGCGTCGTGCTGCAGTATCTTTGCTAGTATTTGCTTTATTTCTGTCGTTCTGAACTATGAACATGCTTGCGTGTTTGCTTTGATCTTGTTATCGAATTCAGATGCACTAATTAATTAATCAGTATGGTATATTGATTTGTACTCCTTTAGTCCCGTTATACGTGTCGTTTTAACTTTCCGCCAAGTCCAATAAAGATTCTCTATCCAAATGCATGAAACATGCTATGAACCTAAACATCCATCCAAATGAACACACAGATATAGTGGGACAATACCGTGCCGTATCGTGTCACCGTGCTTAAGTCTCGATCCAGGCATGGCACTAGACCCTCCTAGCCACGCCGTGCCGTGTCAATTGACACGACAGCTCAGTGGGCTCGTGCCATACCAACATTGATGCGCAAGGCCAGAGGCTGTGCTCGAGTTATATAGTCTGTTCGTTTGGTCATATTTAGTTTATAAGTTATGACTTATCAGGCAACGAACAATATTTTTCTCTCGCACTAAACCAGCTAATAGTATTTTCAGACATGGCTTATAAGTCAACCCAGCTCAAACGAACCGGACAATAGCCGCGCCATCGTTGTTACTGCTGCCTCGCCGTCGTTGTGCGCTGTCCCACGTTGCCACTGATGCTACTCCCCGCCGCTGCCGTATCACGATGCGTGCGGCGAGGTTGCGTGTCCATGCGAGGGGCTGCGTGTCTCCGCGAGGAGAGGCCAGCGGACAACAGACGAGAATGGGAGGAGTCACAACTGGCGAGGCACAGCCGCACTTATGGGAGTCGGACGAGGAGCAGGGATGGATCGAGACATAGAGGGAGAGGCGCAGGTTGCTTAATGGCATGCAAGCAACCTGTAGGTAGTAGTTTAAATGTGAATTAGTAGGCAGTATAAGGGCCCGTTTGGCACGGCTTTGGCTCGTGAAAAAACAGCTCTGGCTCTGGCTCGTATGGAAAAGCAGTTTTTTTTTGCTCTGGTTTATTTTGTACGAAAACGTTTGGCAAAACGGCTTCTTCTGGCTTTTCAGATCGAAAAGAAGATGTCAAATATCCAAAATACTCTTACATTTCTTTTTTTCTCTTTTCTTTTTCTTTTTTTCCCTTCATTTTCCTTTTCATTTTCTTTCCTTTTCCCCTTCTCTCTCCTTATCCGATCGGCCTTCCCTTCTTTTCCCCTCCTCTCTCTTTATCCGATCGGCCTTTCTTTCCTTCTTTCTCTCTTGGGCGGCGTCCAGGCCACCACCCGTGCCCCCACCTCCGTGCTCTCCGCTGGCGCATCAGGGGTCTGCGCCGCTGCCGCCGCCGGTGCTCCACCCGCGCCGCCGAGCTCCGCCATGGATGTCGCCTCAGCTCGCGCAGTCAAGCTCCGCAATAGCCATGGCCTCGGCACGCCACCGAGATCCAACATGGCCGCGGCCTCGGCACACCGTCGTGCTCCGCTTCGGCTGCTGAGCTTCGGCCCGGCCGTGGGCTCCGCACACGTCACCGGCCGCCATGGCGTCCGCCGGCCACCACCCCCGCCGCCGCCTCCACGCTGCTGCCGAGCTCGCAGGCTTGCCTGATGGCAAATGTTGTAAGTTCTGTGAAATAGCAAGGGCACATGCATACTTTAGTATTTTGGGTGGAGGAATGAGCCAGTATGAGCCACTATTTTTGGCTTCTCATCGGCGGAAGAACCTAGAGAGCAGAAAAGGCGGGGCTTCTCCTGGCTTTTCCTCGTGAGCCATTTTTGAGTTATAGCATTTGGCAGGGCTTCACCATGAGCCGCTCAAGAAGCCGCTCGATGAGCCGTGCCAAAGGGGGGCTAAATGTGCAGTTCTCAAGATTAAAGATTAAACAATTAGGAATTCATACTAGTATATTCCAAAAGGATGGAGGAACAGACGAATAACCTGTAGATGCGATGAATGTATGACAAATTCAGTCATCTCTAGTAAATGCTGCAGCAACCGAAACAAAGCACATAAGGCAGCATGCATTTGTTCAGTTAAGAATCTATCAATTCTATACACTAGGCAGAACCCAGGCCTGACATTCCAACAGGACCCAGGCATGACATTCTTCTGAACACAACTATGAGCATGGGTTCAACGATCAATACAGAACTGACAAAAGGTTGTACTAATAAGGCCCCAGGAATTCTGACGGTGATCTAACGCACACCATATGCCAAAAGCACTGCTCTTCAGCTCATGTTTATACCTACCAAAAAAAGATAAAAATACTGCTCAGGAAACTGACAATTTTCCCTACAAACAAGGGGCAATGTTGATGCACAAATACAAATACAAATACAATCACAAAAAGAAGCGCAATTTGTCTCCTTTTGAGTTTGACAACAGTGCATCTCTACCTACTAGCACCAGTAAAAACACAGCACAACAATCACCCAGGGGAACCGACCAGGATCCCACCCTGCAGCCGCAAAAGAATCGTATCACGACCAAATCACGAGAACCATATCACGACCAAATCAAGCGGCACAGAGGGATGATTCCTGGAGAAAAGATCAAGAAACCCACCTTGAATACTTGGTCGGGGCTGAAGAAAGCCGAGGGAGGAGTCCTCGGGCCGCCGCCAACGCCAGCGCGCTTCTGAGTAATCCTTTCGCCGGCGTGGATCTTCGAGACGGGTGCCCTGCCGACGCCGACGCCGACACCTCCACAGAGGAAGGCCTTTCCATTACATACAAATTTACAATCCGCGGGCTGATCCATTATGGGTGCGTTTGGTTCGAGGAGGAAATTTGACGGGATATAACGATCTATGGATACTGGGATAAGAATGTACATGATGCATGTTTGGTTAGATGGATAGTACAAGCCATTTTTCTATTTAGTTGCATGAATGGAAGTGGATAGGATTAGAATAGTTGTCTAATTATATCTATTATTTAAAAATAATAACAACTAATTAGACACTAATAAATATGCACTAATACTAATTTTGTCATGAAAATCACTAATTTAAAATAAATATGTTAATTAGCACAACTAATAACCTAATTAGCACACGAAACATGCACTAATCAACGTATAAACACTTATCAAAACTAATCCTACCATCATAATTACTACGTAATAATATAACTTACTAATCATCCTTAATTTATTTACTAATGATAAAGATTAAAAAACATGGATAAGCTGGTTCGCGAGATTTTTACGAACCAGGAAATCTAGCATCTAGGGGCTATATTCCCTATCCATGGTTTTACTGCTCCAGTGATTCATCCAACCAAACGTCAGTGATCCATGGATGGTCTAATGTCATCCATACAAATCTAACCAACCAAACACATCCTATCATGATCCGCACATTGACTTGGGTCACATCTACAATCCGATCCGTGCCGGCCCTTATAAAAGATAATCCAATCCAATTCAACCCTATTTCTAAAAGAACCCGTACATAATCCATGTATGTGAGCCCATGAGTCGGGGGGCCTTATGACCCTTGAGCCTAGCCAAGCCTATTTTCAGGCCTAGCTATGCTATGCCGGATCGATTCCTTTTGCTTTGGTGATCTAGTGGGCTAGAGGCATGTGATTCTTGAAGGTTTATATGAGCTTTTTCAGCCTTTTAGACATGTGATTCTTCGTGCCTCTTATTTTTGCACTGTTCGGTCTCTACCTACGGATGATCCATATTTTTCCAATCAATGTAAAATATATATATATATATATGTCACAGGCTATAATCATATTATGGATCTTCAGCAGCTATAAATGTCAATGCAGTCCGAGGCACGATGACCCGACACGAAACACGCAATTTTGGCCCGGACCAAGCACGGCACGGCCCGATGGTCAGCGGGCCCGAGCTAGCCTGGCCCGAGGGAGCAGGCCGTGCCTAGGCCGCTGCTCAGGCCCGTGGGCTGACACGGCACGGCACGGCCTTCGACGGTCGGCCCGGCCCTGCATCCCTCCGTAGGCTCCCACAGGTGCGAGTGTGCGACGCCGCAGCTCCCTCCGCATCCCTCCCGTAGGCGGCGACGCCGCAGCCTCTCCCCCTCCGCATCCCTCCCAGCTCCCACAGGCGTGACGCCGCAGTCTCTTCCCCTTCGGCATCACTTGCGCAGCGCCGCAGGCCGTAGCTTCTCCCCTCCGCATCCCTCACGCACAGTCCTGAATCTGGGCCCCGGACGCGCTGCCGGTGCTGCGCGGGACGCCCCTCCCTCTCCTCGGCCCTCGCGCACGGGCGCCGATGTCGCGCCCCCACGCAGACGCCCCCTCCCCGCCTCCACTCCGGCGGCCGCGATGGCAGGGGGTTCCGCGGGCTGCAGAGACCCGACGGCCGCGTTTGGGCGGAGATCCGGAGCACCGCGCTCCTAACTCCCTTCCCCTCCCATCTCTACGCCACGGACGCCGACGCCCCCTCCGTCTCCTCGCCGGTGCCAAGGGCCCCAAGGGCAAGGTCTCCTGCGGCCACTGCATCTCCGGCTGCTCGCACTTCCTCTCCTTCCCGCTCTCTCTGGCTGCTCGCACTTCATCGTGGGCCCGGGCTGGCCCGGCACGCTAGATTGGCCGTGCTTCTCGGGCCGGCCCGGCCCGATAAACAGCCCAGCAGGCCGTGCCTGGGCCATAGGTTAGGCACGGTGCCCGTCTCGGCACGGCCCGGTAGGCACGACGTGCCGTGCCGGCCCGAACCCCATCAGGCCATGCCTGGCACGGGCCCGTGCTGTGCCGGGCCGGGCCGGCCCATTGGACATCTATATCAGCAGCAAGGTCACAAATAGTCGAGTCAAATACCTGACTTCTATGAACGACTGCATTTGGTATTTAGTCAAATGCCTGTCTATACATCTTGCTGATTTATATATTATATATACATGGAGTAAGTAAGAGACCGTGGCATATATATTTTCTGCGCCCTCAATTATCCGTCAACAAAATTGCTTCTCGTTCAGTAGGGAGATGAATCCCAAGAAGACGCCGACACCGATTCTCCTCACCGTTC